TAATTTTGTCCACTTACTGTACATTTTTTCGCGTAGCGAATATAACGAATCCGAGTAATAACAACCAAGGGCAATAATATCTGCCAGCTCAGAAGCTCAGGGTGTGAGGCAAATATCGCGGAAGCATTTGGCTCTTCAGGACGGTAAGTGCGGCGAAGGTGCATTCAATTCCATTTAATTTTACAGTTTCCATCGGATATGAAAATCTGGAATGAAGCAGAGCTCTGGAATTATAATAGCAAGCCGTGGGGAGTCGGATGCTCCCTGGTCCTTTATTCCTCCGGTCTCTTAATCTTTAGGCAAATACGATTTGCGGAATGAGAAATGCCAGAGTCCATATGTCAATAGACGGTCACGGCGATATTTTTGCAAACTTTATTCATCAGTCGTGCGAATAACCCTAATGTAACACGAGATCGCAATACTCGATGACACAGTAATGACAACGTCTAATGATTTTTATTTTTACTTTTTTTTTTGTATCAAAATAATCACATCGCAATTGAAGATCAAATACAAAAATAAAATATTCACTGATATCAATTTTATCGCTAATATATAGAACGTTATAGAAACTAATGATCCAGCGTTCGCGTGTATTTGACATCCAGGAATTATCTTTGACAGGTAATGGATATTGTACGGTAGCTGATAACGATAGTAGGTTAACGGATGTAGAAGTAAGAATGGCGTACACCGGAAGTAAATGTAGTTCTGTTATTTCTAGAGACACGTTCGTAGATACGGGTATATAAAAATGCATTGGCAGATATTTGCATGGACGAGGTATTCTGATATCTGACTTTTTATTTTTATTTTGTTACCAATAGAAATTCAAAACGACGCTGAAAGAATTGACGTATGAATTTATCGATTGGCTTTCTATTTTTTTTTACATAAAAAATATATGTTCTTGCATCGATGTGGATATGATCCAAATGGATGAAATATGAAGTTTAGAGGAGTTACGTTCCATTGGGGAACTATGTGGTTTGACGTTACGTCATTTTGGGTCGCTGCCTTTCAATATTAGAAAGGGTTCCTTTTGCACCCCCCTGGGAAAAGCTTGTGTCGTTTGAATCCACTCTATATTGTCAGCTATATGTATATATATACCGAGTGCGAATATTGGCTTGTGCGATTTTCGTGAATATTTTGCCTTTTGCATCTTTCTCCTCAAGTTCAATCTACTTCAATCTTATTTCGTATCCGCCCTTAGGATCGGTCGTCGCTCGGGAATATTCTTCACTCGTATCTTTAGCTTTGTCCTGGAATGCTTCTTGGAGAAGAGTGATAGTGGGTGATGGAAGGAGAGAGAGAAAGAGAGAGAAGATACCTCCAGGAAATGAGATCTGTATGGAGTCTTTAGTTGGCTGCAATATTGGATAGAGGGAAATTGAAAGAAAAAAAAGGGGTTGAATAATGGATTGTAGGGATGAAATCTTGAATTTAAAAATATTATAATTTTTATTTGTTTGTAATTTTTTCTTCCTTTTTTTTCGTACTAATAATTTTTCTTACCTTCTTTTTTGTAGAGTCCTCGTCTTTGGAATCTATAGATATATCGGGCGTGTCCCTCGTATAACTCAAGGGCGTAGGTAACGGAGAACCGATGGCCAATGCATTTATGACAGGGAGGGTATCAATATTTCATCTTGGGTTTTTCCTTTTTCCTCAAGAGAGAGAAAATTCCTCAGTTACACCCTCGTAACACCATGGGAACTTACTAGCGCCCAACATCTTGGCCTCATACCCCTTTATTCCTTTCGGTGGCTATGAATAAATCAAGAGGATTACGAAGGGTCGTATCACATGTCGGCGAAGGATCGTGGTGAGAATCATTGGGTGATTTTCGATATTTTAATTTAAAAAAATATATAATATATTTTTCATATCGCTTAATTTTTACCTCTGTTTCTTAAGGGTGAAAAAACTTTATGCAAAAAGTCGTAGTGCCAGTTGGCGTTAAAAAGTTTCGGATGCTCACGTGAAACTCGGTTTCACATGGAAACGGCAGCTTCTACGTGGGCAAGATAATAACGAGGTCGAAAACTTTGGCATTAATGAATGGAAGACGCCAAGAAATTAGATAACGTTCCTGGGCTCTTTCGGAAAATGCTTTAACGATAAATTCACTTTGACTCTGCCTGCAGGAAAGTCTTAAGTAAATTTCGTAAATCCCCTTCCCCACTGTATTTCCTGTTTCCCAAGATGGATCGAAAGCTTTGCGAAGGTTCGAACAATTATATTTAAAAAAAAACCCCCGTGCTTTTCATTTCTTTTGTTTCGCCGATATACGATGTACGTAAATTCAAACGGAGAAATTTGTACAGACTCGAAATGGCTTTCACGTGTTTGTCCAATTTTGTGAGAATGGGAGAGGGGAAAAAAAAAGATGGCAGACGGAAGAAAAAAGAAGAAAAGAAAAGATTATGGAAAGCATCCGCAGTGTTCGATGCTCTTCGGCGAAGAAACTCGTTTCGAAAAGTCGAGATCGGAACGCGCCTGGTAACAGCCGGTGACTTGCCGATTTATCGTCTCGGCTGCTGTATCTTCCGCAGAATGATGGATGCTCGTGCGATGCCACGCACAAATTTCTTTACTTAAGCGATTTCAGCCCTGCGTGAGTATCAGACTCGTAACGTTTTTAGGCCATAGATTTTTTTTTTTTTTTTTTTCAAGGCCGTGGAAATTCAGCATCCGTCACCATATTGCTCAAAGCTGACCATATATATGTACATATACACTTATACCCCTACGGGTATATCGCAGGAAAGTCTTCATTGCTCTTTCCAAACGTGTTTTATATCTACTGCCTTACTCAATCTCTTACGTGACATACATGGTGGACACACGTGAGCACGTAAGACGCTAGAAATAAGGTGAACTACCCCCAAAGGGAGGGTCGGCAACTTCAACACTCCCGGTGGCTGTAGGGTACCATATATTTTCAGGAAAAACTTGGAAGTCTTTACTTTTTTTATTGTTTTTATTTTTTTTTTCTAATAACTTTCTTATACTTTTTTGTCGTATTCCTCCTTGTCCTTCCCCTATTCGTGAAATCGATGATCTCGAAGGGTGGATGAATCGTTCGGACGACCTCACGTCCTCGTGCTTCGGACTTCGAATCTCGAAAGGGGGTAGTTTGTGTCGGCGATGCTGATCCGAGGAGATTATTGGCAAGTCGCCAAGATCCTTTTAATGCGGCGCCTATGTACTTTTTTTGCTTTTCTTTGGATTCATCCGACCACTTCGTTTCGCTACTCTTATGCATTTATCTGGATACCCGATAGCTACGCTCTTATTGTATACACGAGATCTGTTTAATCTACCCCTTGATGGAATCGAATTTTTTTTTGAGATGTTACAAAAAAAATTCATGCATACTTCAGGGTTCTTATCGTTGGTCCCTTGTGAGGAGAATAAGATCTTTAGGCGATTGGTCTGGAATTCTCTCTCGTTTTTTCAGAATGAATTTCGATCGCTATGGGGGCTCCGTGGTATTAGGGTATTTTTGTTTTTAACTTTTTAAACTTTATAATCTTCAATTGGCTCGGAGATTTCGTTTTGACCTTTGGTTCAATTATGCTGTAAAAAAAGATTAATTTTATTTTATCGCCGGGAAACGAGAGTTTGCCTGAGTGGATACGATTTCAAGGACTCTCGTATATACGACTGGTTGGATTTTGTAATATCGAGAAACGGAGACGCTGGATACGCCATCGAGCTCGAAGATAGAGGCTGGAATTAAAGTGAATTTAATTTCTGACAAATAACCTCGCGCCAGAGTTTCCGGAAGTTTTCGACCTTTTTTCCTCGAGGTCGTCATCCGGCAGGAGATTGGCCAATGACAAACGAGCTTGCACGGGATTCGAACTACTTCCTCTACTGTTGATCGATATATACGTATGGTATATATACATATAGATATGTCGATAGGTATTAACTGTCGGTATGACGGGTAATTAAGTCTTCGGCTACTTAATTCATAGTAAACTTCTATATGAGATTTCTGGTTTTTCTTTTACTATCCACAAATTTGTCAAAGAACTTGTCAAAGAAATTTTTCAAAGTCTTGTGAAAACTTCGACGACGAAAATATGATCGAAGCGAAGAGACTGTGAAACTGAATTTTTAATTTTGACCAGGGGATGCAGGGTTATAAAATTTGGTTTTAATGTAGAAAAAAAATTTTTAATAATTCAGGCAAAATTTTACAGCAGCAGCGAGGTCTGATTATCGAGTTTTGAAGAAACTTTAAAAGTCGGTATAAAAGAGTCTAGTGATAGGCACGATAATCATCCCTAATGCACTACCTGTTTTGACTAGAGCTAAAGCCCGTGCTGCGAGAGCGCAATAATTAATGATCAGTGTTAATCCACAGCGAGGATAAAAATAATTGGCCGTTCGTAACGGCACCTATACGTGGAATCCCCTGGGCGACCCTCCGGGAAAAACTCCCTTAAATCTTAAAAAAAAAAAAAATGTAACGACCCATAAGGGATCAATAGGAATCATTCCTCATTCTCACGGCTCATCCTGGGACGAGGTATGGGGATTTTTACTCCTTTTTTTTTCATCCTCAGTGTTCCTAAGGGTTGATGCCAGAGTTCGAGGATTCGCACGAAGATACATTTTCGGTCGATTCGTATTTTTCCTACAGTAACTTTTTATCCTTGCTAATAATCTTTCGCAATGTACCTCGCGACACTTTGTTCTGCTGCATCTTTGCGGATTCACCCTGTCTTACCGGGGGTTGCGCGCGCGCAAGGGTGGTCCTGATCTTCTTCAGGGTCTAGGGGTATCGCAGTGTGATGCACGGTGGCGCCGTGCTGCGGGCAAACCTTGTAAACTCAGGAAGTAGGCGAGCACCGTGCTACGGGTCAGTCGTGGGTGCAGTGCGTGCGAGAGCACCGGTTAGCGAGAGCTGCGCGAATTGGAGAGACCGGCGTGGATTGGAGTGCGCGGGGTTAGGTCAGTGTCACATTTTGATGGATATTATAAATATAGGAGAAGAAAAATTTGATTTATAATTTCATCATACCTTCACTGTCGCACTTGTGGATCTACCGTAACATCACGATAGCCATGCAGTCCGTGCGTAGATGCTTAGGAGCTCTATGGGGTTGATTGGCATTTTTCAGTGGATCACACTCTTTGAGATAGTCAGTGTTGTGTTGGAGGGTAAAATCAAGTAAGGGAAGATTTTTACTTAATATTTAGAAAAAAAGAAAATAATGAAGGCGAGTGATAAATTAATTTTTAAGGTTTTCCATTAAGAGTTGGACGTTCTTATTAGATTTCATTAATTCACGATCTCTTGTCGAATTATATTTAATTTTAGGGTGAATTTGGTGTAACTTTGTTTTTGTGGCTGCAGTGTTATCTTTATTATTGGAGAAATCATTAGAATATCGGTTTTCCTCCTTAATATGTATATTGACAGTGATGGGGAGTTCATATACAATCGAGGATATTCCCTTTGTAGGAATTATGGGGAATTGGAATTTGTTTGGGATAAGCAATTGGAATTCAGGGTGTAACGGGTTTTACTTCCGATTGGATTGGTAGTCTTAACGAGGAGACTGAACGTCACTGATCCGTTACCTATACTATGTTTACACCTTCGCAAATCTAAGATCAATTGTCTTTCTCTCTCTCTCTCTCTCGAGAGAGAAAGATTTCCTGTTTACCAAATCCTCCCCTTTGATCGTTATACGATCTCATTCCCGCAGGACAACGTATAATCCACAAAATAGAAGTTCATCCCGCAACTTTCGATGCTTCAGCTTTACACACCAAAGAAATTCCCATCTTGCCGTAAGGAAACGCGCTCGAAATATCCCTTGGGGTATTTCTCATCCGTTTAACATTTACGTCGGGGCTTCCCCGGTTTATAGGAGGTTTCCCATTGCTTTTTTTTTTCTCGAAAAGAGGTAAAATAAGATTTTTTTTTCTAAGAAACTAAAACCAGTACTCGCATGTTACGTATATGGATATCGCAGGATATCACGTAATCCTCAAAGCGTAATGTGACGTAATATATATTTTTTGAAATATTTTGATAATTCATTTCGTCATATTTCTTTATCATTGCTCTTTTTTGTGCTTCAGAATCGGACCGTGTGATCGTTGATCAGGACGCGTGATCTGCTGTCGAAGGGGTTGAAGGAGGCTCGGCACAGTGGAGTAGTGCGCGAGTCACGAAGGGGTGCACGATGCCCCCCATAATAGGGGAGACTCTGCGCGTATGGTTTCTCTCGGCTTTGGTAGTGCACGGAGCTGTTGCGGGAAATCCGGACGCGAAACGCCTCTACGACGACCTCCTCTCCAACTACAACAAGCTGGTGCGTCCTGTGGTGAATACCTCGGACGTGCTTCGCGTGTGCATCAAGCTTAAGCTTTCGCAGCTCATCGATGTGGTAAGTCTTGAGACAATCCTTTTTTTTTTTAATCACACCCTGACAGTCTTTTCGTCCCGATTTTGAAAATTTTTCTTTCGCGATACCAAACCCAAATGTGAATATCGGTAACGCACTATCGATCTCCGTCGACGAAGATATTGAGAAAAAGAAAAATTGATTTTTTCAAAATTTCTTTTCCCTTCTTTTTTTTAAGCTTTCTCGTGAAAAAAATAACCAGGGATAATCAATGTTTATAATCTTGGAATTTTAAACCGGATGAGCTTTTCACGGGTCCGCGACGAAGCAATTACGATTTAAGTGGATTACGCGATCAAAGAGACTTTATCCTTATGAAATTGCTTCGTTTTTTAAAAGGGTGGACGGCAGGGGATCAGAAGGATACCAAACACTGTTCTTATTGCTGGGAATAAAATTTCTGCTTTATATCTCTATAGCCCGTAGTAGCATTCCTGTGTTTTGCGTGTACTGCTTCCACTTACGGTTTCTTTCTTAAGAATTTTTTTTTATTGTTATCATCCTTGTCGTGTATCGTCAAATAAAAGAGGATCACTTACCAGTGGGACTGTACCTAATATTATTTTCGGGTACAGGTTTAACAATTTTAAACCTCAAATTGTTTTCTACGGTAAAGTCCCACATTCGATTTTTTTTGTAATTTGGGTAATTTAATTACAGGCTTGGAGTAGCTTTAGGTAATTCGGGCATTTCTAATTGTGGCGTGAAAACGGTCCACGGCTCTGTACTATTTAATTACGTTATCATTTGCAGAGAATTTTTGGTTATAGCTAATTCAAAATTTAGACGGCTGTAGATAATTTTTTTCCTACGGACTCCCTCGTCGATATTAGCAATCGGCAGACTCGAAGCACGAGGTTCAATAAGGATTTTAATAACAAAGAAAAAAAACTCGAGATAAAGGTATGAGAATTTTTTACCCATAATTACGCGCAACTTTACGAGGATTTTCCGTCGCGGAAAAATTGTACGACAGATTTATACAGTCGTGATAGTGATGGCTGCCCGAGGGAGCCTGTCAGTGATAGACCACAACGAGAACCAGTATTATACAATGACGTAAGAGCAGTATGCGGTATCGGTTCGAGCGAAAGAGCAGCTAAAGAGTAATGAAATAAAAATAAAATAAAAAAAATACGTACGCGATTCCGTCTGCATCGTGTGTTCGTAATTCGATTAATCTGATTTCCTTTCTTTGTTACGCGCGTGAGCCATGTTTCGATGTTATTGGGGTTTGGAAAAAAAAAAGATCGAATAAAAAATAAGGCGGAGGAACGACGTGTAGTAGGACCCGGGAAAGTAAAGTTAGATAAAGATAGAAAGAGAGAAAAGGGTATAAAAGGAAGTCCTGTTGAACCCGTTGTAAATTGGCAGGTTCGTTTCAACTGTAACACCCGGTATCTTTTTCTTTTTCAACGTGAGACAGCATCTTGGGCGTCGAAGGAAACGTCGAGTTTACGAAATTGTCTGCTAGACGCGTCCGCCGCTCTGATCGTAGGCAAAGCTGCGCGCGCAGCCGTCCCGTGATCCTTTGCGAGGAAGCGAAAGAAACAGCGGCAACCCAAAAAGAAACGGAAACGCATAAAAGTACTGGAACTCGGAAGGATTAATGTTCGGCCGTACGTATAAGGCTGAATTCACAGTCGCCGGCTTTTAGTTTCTTGTGTTATTTATTCTTCTTCTTCTTTCTTTCGTATCGCTTCTACTCCTGTCGCGCTAGAACGATAACGCGTGGCTTATGGCCTTTCGCAAATGAATTGTGACATAACGCACGCGGATCCTCTAAGCATTATGAAACGTATTCCTCGAAGCTTGCCGGCTGGTAACGGTCCTGGTTTTATCGTACTCGTAAAGGCTCGTTCACACGTCGTTAACTCTCTTCGGTGTCACGTCGCGAACTAACCCACTCAACTATGAAACCGTGTCGATTTTAACATAACGCAGAACCGAATACGAGATGGGTCGAAGCATATGCGAAAAAAAAAGGAAAAAAGAATGGAGGTGCCGCGAATAACATTTTTTTCGGACACCGGTAATTAGATACGTCTAGTAAATAATTAAGGGTCTGTATCGTTTTCGGTAGGGGATGAAACTGTGTGGCCACGCTGCCGCTCGAGGGGTCGTCAGGCGGGGGCGGGGCATGATATTGCTGATATTTTGAACTAGGTGGAGAAGACGATCGGGTAACGAGGAGGAAGGGGTGGCGCAGGAGGGTGTCAAGGGGTGGCGATAGTGGCATTGATCGAATCGAATGGCAGGGGTGGAATAAAATTATCGGATTTCAGTGTGAAGCGTTTAGTGAAACCGCGGGAACTTATGTCAGCAGTTCTCGTAAATTTTATTTCCTCGGTTCTACCGGGCCAGGGCCGTATAACGCTTGTGCATACGCTGGACGGTGACAACACATTGTATATTGATTAACGAAATTTTTTTTTTTATTTAAATTAATCACACCGGATGAGATTACACCTTATAGGTCTAACGTAAATGTTGTGTAAGTAAATAAAAAAAAAAGTTAGAAAAACAAAACCAATCGATAAAAGCTTGTTGACGTTAAGTACATCCAATATACTCATTATCGCTCGAAATGGCGCTTACGTTCAGAATCGACAGCTCGACCATTCGCAGTTTCGCTGAAAGGCTTTTGTTAGTCAAATATAATTTCCATAGCAGCCGCTATGAATCCCTGCGTTTCTATCGGTCACGTTTGAATTCCCATAGGTTTCATGTAATTTCATGAAAACGCCTCATAAAGCTTTATCTTTCCCTGTCGTTCATATAGAAATTCACGCAATTTCGTATCAAATCTTCGTTTATAATTTTCATGAAAGTTTGACGCCCCCTCCCCCCTCCAACCCCCTTGCCAGCACCATCCCACGATCTCGCAGACACCTCGTCCCCTGTGACACCTCTTCGAAATCAGTCCCCCCTTACCACTCCCCCCTCCTGCCACCGAATTTCAATTCCCGCAACGCAACCAACTCTAAGTCTCGTTGCGTCACGCGCTGTTTTCTACGTACTGAGAGACGAGTGCGCACGTGTGACTCGTAGAGCTTGCAGGATATTTGAATATGGCGCCGGTGTTGGTGTATAAATTATGTAAAGTAGTTCCTGATTGTCTCATAGCACCGGCGGCACGGCACAACGTTATCCCGTGACCATGTACGAATCTATATGTATACGTATATACGTTTGCCTTCGTTACGTTGCGTATACGTACCAGTATGTATAAATATATCGTATATGTTATATACGTACTCAATATGTCGGCCCATAGTGTGTAGAGTATATATCGGTATATGAATATATATATATATATATATATATATATATATATACACACCCGTGGCCTAAACATTGCTATTTATGGCAGGAGCGTAACGCGCGGGTGGCTTGCAAGGGGTGTTTCCCACCTACCCTATTGTCAGTACAATTTGTCATAAGCCTCCTCCTTGCACTTTATATGCAACCCTCGGCGATACCTATACGATAACGCATTAGCCACACGAGCGTGGCTTTTGCCGGACTATGAACGTGGTCAGTGGCTCGTGGCTCGTGGCTCGTTATTACTATATTACCAATTAAGGGTCGGCGCTACGGTTTGTCCTTGTTATCAGTAGCATACCTGGCCAACCGGTTGGTCGTTATCATTATCGCATCGTAGGGTTAGGTTGGATTTTGAAAGATTTATTTCTTTTTTTTTCACGACAGTCTTTAACTTTCGTATTATTGGTCGTGAAACGAAAGGAGGGGTCGGAGGGGTGGGTCGCTTGGTCTTATGACTCTTAACCGAGTCTTGGCGTTTCTCGATAACGATGAACCCGTGATAACGTGCCTGTACGTAGGTTATACGTAGTGCAGTGAATGCACTTCGCGATAACGCTCGATATCGCGATATCTTCATGTATTGGATTTTTACTTTTGAAATGGACTATACCCTCTCCATATTCCACATGGTGCTTTAAGCTCTTCTGTGCTTTCCACGTGCGACGTGTGTGTGTATGTAATCTTATCAGCTCGCGTTACTTTAGGATAACGGCCAGGTAGAGAGGGGGAACGTGTTTTTTTCGGATTTTCAAAATTCCACAAATTTTTTGAAAATTATTTTTCTTGGATTTTTTCCGTATATGTCTGGATATCCGTGAATTGGATTTTTGTTTTGAATTTAATGTGGAAACTTTGCAGTCTACCGTGCTTGGGTGCATTAACGAGGAGAACGGGCAGGGGTGGAGCAGTCTGTGCTTGACGCGTAAATGTGCGTACACACGTGCACCGAAGCACTGCGGAACGTTAATAATGCACGGGTGACGATTCTCCGCGAGAAATATTATTGTGCCGCGAATTTACGTCAGGCGGAAATACATAAATTGCGCAAGGGCCGTACCACCGAGGTCCGCGGGGCCCCCTGGCGGGCTCACCCGTAACCAGAGGATGATTGTTTTCCGTTCTCTGTCGTGCTCGAAAGTGGTTGGCGTCAATTGACGAGGTATTCTGCGTGCGTGACGGATCAGACTTGTGCAGAAACGTTTTACGCTGAGTTTGCCCCCTTTTTTTAACGTTTTGTCCATTTGTTCAGCTTTTTTTTCTATTTCTCTCCATTTACGTCACTCTCGAACCATCCCTTATTATGTTTACGGGAAGGGGCAGTAATATGTGTATCCAGTGAATTGACTATCTTTTCGTCTCTGATTGTTGCGTCGTCCCGGCATGGTAATACGTGTCAGAGTCCTATGGGAATACGAGAAAGGGAATTAGCCTGGAGAATAAAAGCAAGAAATGCTTTCAGGACGCGTCGTGCATATGAGCAATGGTTATGGGAAAAGTGTTGAATTCAGCCGGGACTTTAGGACGGGGGTGAAAACTTTTTCGCGGGCGTCTGGCTTCGCCAACTTTTCATGATTTGTCACAGGGTCTTCTATGAATTTCCAAAAAAAAAAAAAAAAGAAAATTTAAAGTCTCGCTAAATACTTATCATGCAATTT